TTTTTAATAAATATATAAAAGTCACAAATCTATGCAATTTGGTCACAATTCAAAATTTTTAGGGTCACAATTAAAATTTTTTATAGGTAACAGTTCGTTCATCGGTCACAAATTAAAAATTTTAAAATCACAATTTGTTCATTGGTCACAAAACATCAAATTATAGATCATAGATTACTTTTATTGGCCACAACTCGATTATAACTTAATAAAATGTGAGTCACAGTTACAATTTTTAGGTCGCACATTTTTAATTTGTCAAAAATTAACCAAATATTGGTCACAATCAACCAAATAATTGGTCACAAACACCCACGTCCATCGTCACGACACTGCACACAACACAACACCACACACACCCAACTGCAATCGTATCCACGCACGCCGACAACCTCCACAAAATCACCAATCCAACACAGCCACCAACACCACCATCAACGCCACCACAACACCAAAATGGCCACCAGATTTCTCCACTCCAGTAGAGATGACGCCTCTACATAGTGACTCCAGCTAAGCAGATCAAATTAGAGGAGAACAAAATCACCGTAAAATACCCCAAACTCCCTCCCCAAATTTTCAGTTATGTCGGTGACCAAAATACCCAAACCCCTTCCAATATTTTTCTGTCCAGTGGCGAAATCGCCATGGCTGGCTGGATGACTCTACGGTGCTGCTCTGGCTAGGACTGTGCACCTTCGATGGTAAAGGGAAGTTAGTTTTAGCTTTAGATCCATGGAACTCGCGAGCGACGATGTCATAAGCACGTGTCGCCGCCTCCGCCGTGTCGAACGTGCCCAACCAGACACGGCTTTTCTTCCCAGGATCACGAATCTCCACCGCGTAATGGCCCTACGGCCTCTTCCTCACGCCCCTGTAGTGCACCTCATTAACACCATTAACAGCATTATTAGCCTTCTCCTTTACAGCCATGAAAAAAATCTTGAAATCTCCCGTTGAAGAGAAAGGTTAGTGGTGATAAGGGGTTACAGATTGAAGGAAAATGGACGAAGTGGTGGTGCAGGCGGGTGGTGGCGGCGGGGATAGAGAGAGATGGGAAAGAAAATGGTTTGGCAGGAGAGAGAGGGGGGGTTGAAAATAAAATAATTAGGGTTTGAAATTGTGTAGGATTGATTTAAATAAAAATTAATTTAAAAATTATTAATTAAAACCCGATTTATGTATTATTAAAGTTGATTTTGGATTTATGAAAATGATAACTTAATAACCCGTGAGGCTGTAATTTCCTCTTCTTTCTACTAGAAGCATTATGAAAGCACAAGAGATATAGCTACGTTTGATTTTGCTAAAAATAAAAAATTTTAGTACATTTTGACAAAAAATAATCAAATGTATGATTGACTAGTGTTTTTAAATTGTTTATAAATGTTAAAACTAACTTTTACTCACGCACTACGAGGATTCACATATAATACTTACTTATTCACTATTTATTTTTATTTATTTATAATTTAAGCCGTTTATAAATTATTCCAAATTTCAAATTCCACAAGTTCGAAAACTACAAAATGAAAGTCCTTAATTTCGCGCTATGCTCAATTCATTTTACTTTCGATGAATTATTATATGGGAAATGTCATTTGTACACTGCAAAGTGTACATCATGCTTGACATTTGTTTTATTTTGAAAAAATTGCTGAAGGGAAAAATTGTTTTTATTTATTTTTTTGAAATTGTCAAATGATAGTTTGCCATGTGGCAAACTGGCAAACGGTCAAACTTGGTGCATTCTAGGAATTAAGAACGCAGGGAATGAAATTTAAGAAAGTCTCGTTCATTTTATTGTTTGACTATGTGCACAAGCATAAATATTGGACAAGCCAGTTCCCATAGAAAGAGAATTTTATGCACAGCAAAACAAGATCGTCCAAGAGTTTAGTTTCACATTCCAATCTTCCAGGTAGCCGGTTTCACTTAAACCTAGAGCTTGCAATGCTTGCAGTCAACCAATAGAAGCAGGTACGGAAGATTGGAATTTGATCCCAACTGAGGTGGGATTTTCCCCGAGATTCAAAGTTAGATCAAGAACCTGAAGTCTGGACAGGTTCCCTAGAAATGGAGAGATTTCGGCCCCTAGCTGCTTGTGGACCAGAGAAATGGAAACGACGTGGGCAGAAGATGTGCCACATTTGATCCCGAACTAGTCGCAATGATCGTTGGCATCATTCTAATCAACAAGTGCACCAAATGGATTATTGGTTATTGAGTTTTTGAATGTTTTCAAAGACTCAAACCTCAACTTTCAAGTCCATTTCTGCAGAACGAATCCCAAGTAGGCAAGTGAAACATATGAAAACTGCAAACGTAACTCTTCGCCATTGCTTCAATAAATGCAAGTGATATTTCGTTTATATCTTTAGTATGGATTTTCACATTGTTGGCCATTCGCTAACCCTCTTATCAAAGCAGACAAGGACATCCAGTCTTCCTCAAAATAGATGGTAACCTAGCAGCCTATTAATCTTTCTTGATCTGTCTGTAAATGCAAAGTGGCAGAAAACATCGAGTGGATTGGATGGATATTGTGATGACTATTGGGCGTGCTGTTCATTGAACTCTGATGGATAATGCCCCATATCCCACACGGGTGTTTGGTTTATTCATGATTAAGGAAACTATTATTAAACCTATTTGAATAATTCAATGAAAGTATTTTATATTAAACAAACTTGAGAGGATGTTGACTTTAGAAATTCTACAAAAACAAAAAAAAAACAGAAGCAAAAGCATAAACCCTGCCAAACAGATCTTAACCCTTATCTCCAAAGAATCGATTGTCATGGAAAATGATCATTGAGCACTAAAAACGTCGGGAAAAAATTAATTGGAATCCATATAATCGATCAGAGTATAGAACAGCAATTGCTTGTATATTTTCCTTTTTCTCTTTTAGTCTGTGCTGATAGCTCGTTTTGATATTCAAGAGTTCATTTGCCACTATACAGAAGCTTTAGAAACGTTATGAGAGAGCCTAGACTTGGTCATTTTGCATGCGTGTTCTGTGTCAAATATAGTATAAACTAAAAGGCCATAACGCAAGGAAAGAGAAAACACAATTAACTATTTTTTAGAGTTTGACATAGATAAATAAAAACCAAGACATTGGAGATAGTACACCAATGGAAACAGATTAAGCCTAATACTAATTAACTATTGTCCATAATACCTGTGGCCATTTACCATTCATTCTGTTCACCTACGTAAAAGACCCTTGAGGCCGTAATGTACATGGGACCTAGCATTATCGAACTTTTACCACGAACAGACGTGCAGATACGAGATAACATCTTGTAACAAACTTGGAGGGAGTGAGAAAATTCCAAGCTCCCAAACTTTTATTAAGGTACATCAACTCAAAGATCGCAGCTTTACGAGAACAATGATGGATAACTGATCTGGTGATTAAAACTACAATCTTTGTTGCTGTAGGGGATATTTTTCAAGCATATTTTGCCAAATTTCCAACTCCTATCTCCTGCACTTCTACCCTGAGAGACTTCAGGTACTTAACAGCTTCATCAAGAACAGCTACAGTACTCATCTGGTTGGCACCTGGAACAATACCTCTTAATGCCTTCACCATTTTTCTCATTTTCTGACGTTTCTTGTCCTTAGAAGACCTCTTGGAAGGAGGTGACCTCTTTCTAGATAGAGATTCATAATTAGAACATGAATCCGAGGATTCGCTCCCATAGTTTGCATCGGTTCGTGCTGTGCTTAGCTCATCTTCATCATACTTCTCATTTTCATATTCAGTGCTCAATAGAGCATCAATATCATACGAGTCTTCTGTGAAAGAAGTTATTTCTCTGTCTTCCTTCTTGTCCTTCCAACCAATATTGTCTAGGCAGTTAGACATGCCAGCATCAAAATCGGGATGAGGAAACTTATAACCAATCTCAGGATGGAACATGATTTGGCTACTATTTTTGGTTTTGTCAAAGATTACAAAATTCCTCGGGCATGCCTCAGAGGTCAGAAAGTCAACACCATGAAAGGGCCTAGAAGGTTTTATACCCGAGGGCAGAATTGTTCCACCAAATAAGGATTGAACAGGAGCCTTGCTCGTGTAGTAACTGCCCACTTGATTGGGAAGAGGAAGGACAGGATTTTGAGGGAAATATTTTCGATCACTATGCATTTGGAACGGTAAACAACTTCAGTGACACACAAATCTGCAGCTTTCGAAAGGGTTCTCTTCGATTTCAAATTATGCGAAAGTTTTAGGGTAATAAACTAACAAAAAAGACGTTTGTCGTACACCTAATGTTTATACATCTTAGTGAAAGAGCTGTCTAGTCCAATCAATAGTTTCCACGTTCAATGCTACTTCAAAAAATTTCAACATGACGAAAGGAAAAGGCCACCAATCCCAGTCTTACAAGCTTATTACCAAACAGGACTACGTAACAGGTTTAAGCAACTGACGGAAATATTCAGCCTGTAAAGCAAAAAAAATCAATGAACTAGCCATCCAATATTATCTTGAAACTACAAGAGCCAAATAAGAGAAAGAAATACACACTACCCCATGAATCCGTCAAGAAAATCTGACACAAAATAGCTTGTGAAAAAAGAAAAGAAATCAAATTTCAAAATTTATACGAATAAGAAAGAAATGAAAAAAAAGGGGGGGTGTCAAATGACTTGAGATAAGTTCAGTAGTATTGAAATTAATTAAATGTCAAACTCAAGATTACAGAAAGCTACTTGTACAACATAATTACTTCAAAAAGGAAGCACACTCACCTGACGAACTTGCATCAATTGGTAGAAGGCAATAGTTCCAACAGCCATTTTAATTTTTGCAACTTCCTTTACTTTACTATGTTTCTTTTGGGAAACTGCAATGTACATTCTCACTACTCCAACCAAATTTAGGTAAAAACTCGATATAAATCAATGGAAATTTCACCACTGGACAAGACACGCCTGCAAAGTATTTCCAATCTTAGAATAGTAACTTACGCATTAAGAGGAGAAAATCATAGAATTTTAAAACTAAGCCTCCACTTAATGCAAAAAAATCTAAGTAATCGGAATATATTTCAACACACAATGTCCTATCGTAGGACTTCAACTCAATCACAATGAAATTTTTTTTCTAATTTCTCAAAAATTCTCAGGTTACAATCAGAAGCATGAAATTGGAGGATTGGAATTGAATTTGGAAACAATTTCCTCAAAATTTCGATTGATCTTTAATAATACAAAACCTAAATACATGCACACAACTATACATACAAGTGTAATCTTGCACATACTTGTGTCTTTTACCTAACTCTTTTGAACATGTTGACATATCTTTCATTAGAACAACGCTTAGTTTGTTGTTGTTGAGTAGTTACAAAGGATTGCGTACGGAAAATATGTTATTATTATAAATATCCAAATTTTTCCAAGAAGATATTCAAATGAATAGTGGTGTAAACATTCATATACAGAAGGTGCTTTACATATAGAGAAAGGAGTGAGAAATCTCACCAAATAAAATAAAATTACAGGATAACCCAAAAGATCGCTACCAATCGCACACACTTTCCGCAATAACGAGAAGCCCAAGGCATGTTTATCCACTCCTTCAGCCCAAATTTCTATAAGATTCAACCTAAACCTATTCTGAAGTGAAAAAAATGGAAACCACAAATTAATATATGCACAAAGAAAGATCAGAAACCAAATAGCTAGCCATTTAAAAATATACTATAAAGACTAGATAATCTTAGAATAAGCTAATTCTCAAAGCAACATCAAAACAGATTTATGGGCGATACGGAAACTCATAAATGTTCGTAGTCAATAGAGGTTAATAATTTTTTCAGCATACAGATTCTCTACAAGAAAATCATATCCATAAAACAAATAAAAACACTAAATAGTGAAATCTGAAGATACCCCAAAAAGAAAACTGAAGAATTAACCAAGGTGGTTTCTTGTGAGAAGCCTCAGGACGAGGAACGGCTTTTATTTTCTTGAAAAATATAACAACACAGAGTGTGAAATAAATGGGAGAGTGAATTTAACGCAGTAACAGCGTGGGATAATGTGAGGGAGAATCAAAGGACGGGAATTAGAACAGTTGGATTGGGGATAGGACGACCCTTTCCGCGTAATGCGGATGGGTTCTTGGCCGTTGGATGAGAGAGCACGCGTGAAGGAAAAAAAAATTGTAAGTTTGACAAAATTCGTATCTACTGTCGGAAATGGAAATCTTTTTCTTGGGTAAAAGCACTTTTGAGAGTTTTTTTATTTTATTTTTTACGACTTTATTAATGTCAGTCCAATCTTTTCAGTTAAAAAATCCCACTCCGTCTAATAATTAAGCCCTATGATTAAAATTAATTTTTTATTAAATTTTGATTAAAATTAATAAAATGTGGGATTGAAAATTATGAGTCCAATAAAAATGTGTGGTTAAAATTAATTATTATTTTAATTTTATTTTAATGCGCATCAAACCGAGGCTAATAATATTCAGTTTATTAATTAATTAATTATTCCTCAAATTATGGGCATCTTACTCTTATCTACTGTTATTTTTGCATTAATATTGTATAGTTTTAGAACCTAGAAACTCTATGAGGACTTTTAGTGTCTCTCAAAACTCAAAGTCAATGGCTAAGACTCTAGAGGCATCCCACTTTTTGTGAAACTTCAAAAATATAATTATTTTTTTTTTATTTTTTTTTTTGTAATTAGAAACATTTTTTATAAGAAAAGTCAAAATTTGGATGATCCGACAGCATGATGCTTAGTCAATCAATGCAAATTAAGCAAAATTGAAAGTCCTATTCAACTGTCGAATTTTAAGAAAAATAAAATGGAAAATGTTATATATTTTTTCCCTTAGTATTGTAAATGGTGTCTTCATTAGTCATTTTCTTTAAAATAAGTTATGCATCATTCTACATTGTGATAATGTGCATTTATTAAAAGTCAATGACCTAGCTACCTAAGCACTTTAGTGGTACTACATCTTAGGCAACTCAACAAATATTTATCAACTAAGCAAATAATAATAATAATTCAGTCGTGATCAAACTTCGTGATGTTACTAACATTGATAAAAACTTGACCAAGCAAGCACTTAGCCCCTGTCTGGGAGGGCTTTTAGAATCAAAGGACGGGAATTAGAACCGTTGGATTGGGGATAGGAGGACCCATTCCGCGTAATGCGGATGGGTTCTTGGCCGTTGGATGAGAGAGCACGCGTGAAGGAAAAAAAAATTGTAAGTTTGACAAAATGCGTATCTACTGTTGGAAATGGAAATCTTTTTCTTGGGTAAAAGCACTTTTGAGAGTTTTTTTATTTTATTTTACGACTTTATTAATGTCAGTCCAATCTTTTCAGTTAAAAAATCCAACTCTGTCCAATAATTATGCCCTATGATTAAAATTAAATTTTTATTAAATTTTGATTAAAATTAATAAAATGTGGGATTGAAAATTATGAGTCCAATAAAAGTGTGTGGTTAAAATTAATTATTATTTTAATTTTATTTTAATGCGCATCAAACAGAGGCTAATAATATTCAGTTAATTAATTAATTAATTAATTATTCCTCAAATTATGGGCATCTTACTCTTATCTACTGTTATTTTTGCATTAATATTGTATAGTTTTAGAACCTAGAAACTCTATAAGGACTTTTAGTGTCTCTCAAAACTCAAAGTCAATGGCTAAGACTCTAGAGGCATCCCACTTTTTGTGAAACTTCAAAATATAATTATTATTATTATTTTATTTTTTATTTTTTTTTGTAATTAGAAACATTTTTTATAAGAAAAGTCAAAATTTGGATGATCCGACAGCATGATGCTTAGTCAATCAATGCAAATTAAGCAAGACATTGAAAGTCCTATTCAACAGTCGAATTTTAAGAAAAATAAAATGGAAAATGTTATATATTTTTTCCCTTGGTATTGTAAATGGTATCTTCATTAGTCATTTTCTTTAAAATAAGTTATGCATCATTCTACATTGTGATAATGTGCATTTATTAAAAGTCAATGACCTATCTACCTAAGTACTTTAGTAGTCCTACATCTTAGGCAACTCAACAAATATTTATCAACTAAGCAAATAATAATAATAATAATTCAGTCGTGATCGAACTTCGTGATGTTACTACCATTGATAAAAACTTGACCAAGCAAGCACTTAATTAGTGATATAATTAATTATCAATCCAATGTGATTTTTATCAACATTTTAAAAATCGATATGAAAAAAAAAATTAAACAAGTAAAATATAAATTTTCTACTTTTTAAGATTCACCTTTTTTATTTTTTGATCGAACAGTCAATCCAATCATGTTTTTATAACAAACATATTATACTGAGATCAGTGAGATGTGATTGTCCTTGCGAGTGAGATTTTCCTCGTGTGCATGGAGAACATGTCCTAATTAAACTAAAGATAAAACGATTCATTCCAATAATAAGTTATATCTTGACTATGATGAGTTAATTACCTTCATGCAATAAGGAACACTTCAATGGGGACCATGAAATTATATTTCGTGCAATGTTATTGGCTTAAAAGTTAAATTTAATGCGTCCGCTTTTTTTCTTTGCAAAGCAATCTTTTTCAAATGCTGTCTTGTCCTTCGTGTTTTAAATTGGGATTGATGCGCATGCCCAAAAGCACGCTTGTGACAGCGCTACTCCAAATCAGCCTTCTCATGTTCAAGGGAACATTATCGCTTATAAGTTGCTTTTTTCCTTTTGTTTTCATTACAAGAATATTATATTAGGACACAATTAATTAAGAATCCCAAAAACTAGTTAGCTTGTTCAAAGTTGATACCAACTGCGAATGACAGCAAAGTATTGTGTCCACCAGACGGTAACAAATGGTATTTAACAAGCCTCAAACTCGTGCATGCATTCAACTAAAAGTTCACTTTTTGGCTTCCTCCTGCAGGCACACAAACTTTTTGGAACCCAATTCACTGCTTTAATGGGACCCTATATTACTACTTCACCGTTGTCGACTGTTCCGGTATTTGACACCTTGACCTCGAATGCTAGGTTGTCGTCGTCGCATTGTAAGTCGTGTTAGGATTGCTGGACACGGGTTTTGAAAGTGGCATCGGTGTAGTTAAGGTCCGGACAGCGCTGAAACTTGTTTCAATTGTATGCTCAAAAATTTGTCCCAACATCTCCGTCTTTCAAACACACTTCAAAGGGTTTTTGGGAAGTCTCCAACTTGACTTGTCAGTTACCTTCATACGGAAACGAGCAAAAGATTGAACTTTAAGTACAAATAAAAAACAAGAAAGTTTATATGAGTCACGTTACGTGTTTAGTTTACCAGCGCATCATAGTAGGTGCGATCAATTCCAAGCAAATTATCAATGTCGTAAGCTGCATAATGCCTGCAACAAGCAGCAACCTTAAGAGGTCTGGAGTTAGGATCATCAGTACTTTCAATCCCTTCAACATCGTGCAAACCACTAACATAGTTTGCTGCATATGTTCCAACGGTGAATGGATCTTCACCGATTGTCATTAAAGCTCGACCCAATCGAAGATCTTGTACTACATCAATGTTTGGACTCCAAAATGTCAGTTCAGCATGTCCTAGATTATACATAGCTCTTGCTTCTGTCGACACAAATTTAGAAAACATTATTAAGTACTAATGAATATTTCATAATGAATTGAGCCTCATACATAGCAAGTCCAATCCGAGTTGTACAATTTTGCTATGCTGCCAGGGAGGATTTGACATATTCCTCGACAGACACCTCACAATTTGGGGGGGTGGGGGGGTGGGGTTCTTTTAGCCTTTTTTTATTCACATGAGTCTCTCTTCTATGTGAGTATCTGTCAATAAGGGTGACATTTTCTTTCTGACAAAGAAGTGTAATTCTAAGTTGTATCCACATTTCTATCAATGTCATTTTATCTATCAAATTCTGAACTAGAACATCACACGATAAAGAAGAATCACAATAGGCAAAATCGTTCGTGTCCAATCCGAGGCCAATAAACCATTAATCGTGGTTCACAAATGTTTGGGTAAGTTTTGTTAAGGTTGGATGGTAAATTATTTATTGTGGCAATTGAAGGGGCAATTTTCAGTGTTTCTTAATTCATAAACCCAACTAAATTTAGAGTGATCTTTCATTCATAATTTTTCTTCCCACCAAAATCATTTATTCGAAACTCGCCATACCTTGGGATTGCACTTTTCCTAATGTATTTTTATGCATGTTGGCATCTACTTATTTTTTTAGTAAAAATCTCAATGTCATTTACTATTAAAGGTAAATTGCACCTCGAATTAAGATGAAATAAATATATAAGTGCTTGAACTACTCTATCTTCACGAGGTTGTCATTTTTAAAAATCGTGAGTTTTAATACTATCAAAATTCATTAAACTCAAACAAGCTATCGAATTTCAAAAATGTTTTTAAACAAGCCACGATCTTGCAATGACACTCCTGTATCGAATAAAAATGAAATAAATTTATAGCATATAAGTGTTTGAACTTTGAACTGCACATCTTAACAAAATTAATATTTTGAAATAGAACCCAAAGTTTAAATATTTATTTATTAATTGACTATAAATAAATAATTTTAGTAGCAATAACTTTTCGTTTCCTTCCCTTAACCAACTAAAATTTAGATGAACCCACCAATATCCAGACAACATTGTTGGCTTGACAACAATTAAATCATAGGAAGGAACAAGAATTAGTTGGGATCGTGGCTTGTTGGAGACGAAAGACTCATTGCCCCAGACATTAACCATGAACAATTTAACCTATTCCTCAAAGAATTTGAATGTTTCTTTTTATGGTTAATAAAGTATTTCCCAAAAGACAATTATACAAATTTCATTATTTTTTTAACGTCCGTCTTTGAATTATCTCGAATTTATAGTTAGCGACGACTGTAACTGTAATAGACACTTAACATTCTTATTAACAATGGTTTCTAATCATCCCGATAAATTTTAGTATACGGTTTTTACTCGTTTCAAATTAATAGCGCTCACTATAAATAAATGGATGTTTGAGGTTGTCTAATTGTAGACAAAAATCCAACTCATATTTGTCCAAATCTCAATTAGAAGGTTGGCAATGATTGTACAATACAGTTTGTAGACCAAGCAAGGTGATTATTGAAAACGTTATGGACAATTTCTTGAATAACAAATTTGGTTTATGTACAGTTTAATGCACTAATCGACAAACTGTGTGGATTGAAACTTGTTTAACGTTAAATTAGTAGTTCTTGCCAACAATAAAAGATCAAATGAGTGAATTAAGAAATCTAAATTTGCTTTTGTCCAAATTTAATTTGAATTTGGCGTCAAACAAGCGTCATTCCAGTCGAACGAGCCATTACTTATGACCGTCGTAACTACAAACAAATAGTACTCAAATTGAAGCAAAAATGTGAATTAGGTGATCAAATCGAAACAAATCAAAGTCGGGTAGCTAGCATGTAACAAACTTGTGAGTTGAGCGTAAAATTTTCCATCCAACAAAAATAGCATAATAAAAATGAATTAGCCTATGTTTGGTAGGCATTTTTTGGCTGATGTGACGGGGAATATGTGGTTGAAAAAGAATGAAAAGTTATTGATGTGATGGAAAATATTATTTTATTGAAAAACGTGTGACTAAAAATAAGTAGAAAAATGAGAATGAAAAATGTAATGTGGCTCAGACAGAGGCTAAGTAGCCACAGAGAAAAACAAATAAAAACAAACAAATACAAATACACAAAAGGCGAGAAAAATATTAAGGGCCACATCCAAGTAAATTCAGTGGCATATTCGGTACGCTAAGCCCATGTTTGGCTACTGTTTATAAATGGTCAATTCATTTTTTTATTCTCAAATTCTGTGGGGTCCATAAACACTGTCCATTTATTCATCATTCATTTTTTTGTACATATAATTTAAATCATGTACAAACACTTATCGTATAAGCTCTAAATTAATTACAATGCTGAAAGGACTAAAAAAATTACTAATTTATATATTATCATGTATAATACTGTCTATTATGCGCAACAAATATATCCAATGCTTAAGAGTGTCTTAAAAGAAAAGCTATAGTTGTGAAAACTAAAATATATTCTCCAACGTACCTAACATGTGAAAATGTCACAAAGAAAAGCTATGCCTATCAAAGTAGTGTGAATCGTGTGATTCTGGGAAAGAAAATCGATTTTAAAGTGTGTGACAGATCAAACAAATAAAGAGAATATTGTCTTGAGGCCTCCAGGTTGTATAGAATATTGTAGTGGGTTCAAAAGTTGTGCAAATTCACTCTTTTTCACCTTCTATTTTGGTATTTTTTTTCAAGTTCCTTTGATCATACTTTTGAAAAATTAAAAACTTCTTTTAAGATTAAGAATTTGATTTGACTATGTTTGAATAATTTTGTGAAAGTACTTTGTTGAACTTTTTTTTTTAAAGCTGATTTGAGGTAACTTTTTCGAAAAATTCTTTTACAAAAAATAAGAAAAAATATGGTAAAATCATGTCAAAGGAGTCCAAGGGTCCTAAGTTTTGCTATACGTACACCGGGTGTACAACCCCCCTCACAATGGAAGGACTCACGAATTTTTTTTTTGATCGGTAAATGTGAATTATATAGATCAAAACAAATGTACATGTACACCGGGCAAGCCCAGGCGAGTCACAGAAAACAAACAAGTAACACAGCTACTCCAGGTATACCCGGGTAGGAAGGAGGTATCACAATACATTACTCAACAAGCTCTAGCGCTAAAGACTCGCAAAGAACTAAAACATGTGGATACAATGAAAACATAACTTTGTATACATGTGTTTTAATCCGTCTAACAACGCTCTGAATCTGTGTATTGAAATCATAAAATTTCCTATTCCGTGCCATGCCATCCATAAGTAATACACGGTGCTAGTAAGTGCAATCTTCTTGGCTTTGCTATGCCATGCAGTTCCTCGGGCCTCCTTTTTCATCCATTTCACCGCACTTGGAAGCGTTGACATAGTCCGTTTAATACCAAGCCATTCACGAACCTGTACCTAAACTGATGAACTAAAGTGGCAAGCAAAGAAAAGATGTTGTTCCGTCTCCACAGCCCCATTACAAAAACAGCAGTTTTGATCAATGTCCAAAAACGAAAGTTTATCTTTGGTAAGCAGTTCTCCAAGCATCAAAATGAATGCGTGTTTAGGAGTAATTGAAGCATTCCAAAGTCTTAATTCCTTGGGTTTTTCTAAACGTTGGTCATGTCTCTGTAGCACAGCTCTAATCCATTTTACTGCAAATGTTCAATTGTCACGATCATTGCCATTTGCCAGTAAGGAGATTCCCTTTGCTAGTGTGCCACTAGCACTAATAAAAGGTGCATTTTTTATCAGATTTTTGTTTTTCTTAAAATTAAAAGATCGATTTCAATGCTTCCAAATGTTTGCCCAGTACTTGGCAACATACCCGTCAATAGTTTTTAAAAGAAAAAAAAATAAATGTACAGAAATGGACCAACGTTCGAAAATCGAAATGGTATGGTTTGACCCGGCCGTCATTGGTTTCATTCCGTTGTAAACCTTTAGTTCAGGAACACTATTTCTTTTAGAGCAAATGGTCCTGCTGTCAAGTGGACTATGATAGTACTTGTTAATTTATAAATTTTGCTAAACGGAGAATAACGAGGTGTCTTCAACTAAAATTTTGATGGATTTTAAAAGATTATAAATCTTAATGAATTTTGTGGATTTGAATGGATATCCACAAATTTCATAAGAATCTCATCAAATATGGTGAAATTTCAAAATGTTTGATTATATTTACTTCTAAATTTGACATTCATTCAAATCTTTTAAAATTTCTGTATTAATTTTCATAAATTCATGAAGGATGCCTAAATTTTAAAAGATTTAACTAAATTTCATTAAAAATTCAGTTGGAAACACCTAAATTTTAATGAAATTTATTAAAGTCATCTAAATTGAGAAAGATTTTTAAAATCAATTACAATCTCGGTAACAATTTGTTATCAGGCCCACAACCCACCCAGCACCCACTTTTGACCCACGAATACACGTGACGGTTGAATTCGTCCTTAAATACGTATATCCACACAGCCTATCATATTCCTCTTCTATCCTGTCCAATCTTAAATCCCAAGAAACCTCGAATAACATAAAACCAGTCGATCCCAAATTCCTTAAAACCCATCTCAAGTTTTCTGAAATTCGATACGTTTTTTTATACATTAGTGACAGAAAGATATGGTGAAAAAGCCTTCTAGCTTTTTGTTCTTCTTCAAGAGGCTAAACAAGAAAGCCAGCCAGGGAGAAGGCGGAGACGTTGGCAATAGTGGTGGTGCAAGCAGGTGGAAGTTCAATAGCTCCACCGGGCTGCGGTGGAAGAGGTGGTTCAGCTTGCATCTTCGGTTCGTGGATGATATTCTTTTCAAGATTGAATCCATTTTTGAAGCTATAATTTTGGTTGCAACTCTCTGTTTCTTCTTCCTCTGCTGCGGCTGCCACTTCTGATCATTTTCTTGATATTCCACTTATAAGCACCCTTTTTGCTTATTATCAGGTCTTGAATTAATATGTAAGGGTCTTTAATTA